AGGGTACAAAGGCTATTTTATGTCTTATCTCCAGTTCTAATCATCAAATTATCTATAGTGGTGATGGGATGGCTTTCTATCTCTAAGGCAAAAAGTTTCCCATCCTCTCTAGCAGTTAAACCAAAGATGGGTACTTCCATTTCATTTTGACATGTCACATATGTAATAATATTAAATCTCTCCTTCCGTTTTCTAGTAACAATAGGCATAATGTACTGATAGTGGTTAACAGGTATGTTCTTGTACTTATTATGTTCCAGCTTACTAAGGCTTTGAATGGGTAGCAAGACTAATATGTCAGTCAAAGTTCTTTCCAGTTAAAATGACAGAAAATTCAATCCAAACTAACTTCAGGTAAGAGAGAGCAATTTTACTCATGTATCAGGAGAGCCCAGTAATAGATGCAGCTCCAGGAATGGAGGTTCAAATGTCTTCAGCACCCTGAACTTCTTTCTCTGTCTCTTGGATCCACTTTCCCTGTTTTTGGTCTCTTCTTCAACACACTTTTGTTCTTTCAGTTTGCATTTTTCCATGTTCAACAACAGAGAACTAAGCAAAATAGATCTTTCTAGTACCTCTCAAGCAATCCTGACTAGTCACTTTGGCTACTTGGAGTGCAGACTGGTTAATGGAAAAAAGAATTAGTATAATCTATGGCACAATTGAGTGAGGTCTAGGTAGTATTTGTGTGATGATTCATGTCCCATGACACACCTGCTTGCTAAAAGCATGACCTCATGGGACTCCTTTGGCAAGTCAACCTGGGCTATTCCTCCAGGTAGCACAGCTTCCAGCTCCTGGTTTTTCCTTTAGAAAACTCTGGTCATTCTCTGTTTCTCTCTCCCCTTGTATATGCCTGTCAAGATTCTCTTTCCAGATTCAAGGAAATCCTTTCCTCTTTAAAACTTCTTCAAGATACTTAGCCTGTTCCCTGAGAATTTATGATTTTCTAGAAACAAAGCTTGAAAGACTCATAGGCTATTCTTATTTGCCTTTACTTTACTTCTTTTCAGGGCAATGAAAAATTAGCAGATCTTACAGGAGTAGGGAGGGAAGAGAGAAGCAACAGCAGAAAATATAGGGAGAAAAAATACAGACATAATTTAATTTCAAAATATTATCCCAAGGATTTGAATACACAATGATATTTCAAGTTAGTAATACAGAAAGTTCTTTTATTTCTCTCTCCATTTTAAGATCTGAGGAGGCAGAGACCATTGGCAAACAAGCTGGTGATTGAGTGGGCCTCACAGAAATGTGTTATGTAAATTAAGCCTTGACAGGTATTATGTGCTACACTTATTAGCATAGAATTTATGTCTTAGTATCAGTTAAGGTTTTCTTTGTTTATAATATCAGTAAGGTTATATAATATTTTGTGTTTATAATTTTTACTTGAGGAAGATGGATTTTTGAAAATATATTGTTTCTGTTTTTCCAAGAACTGCACAACTTATTAGCCTTTTAAATAGCACATTTAAAAAGGAGTTTCTAGCAAAAGAAATTCAAGGAACAATTGAATTTTCTGTGGGTACTATCCAGTGATGCCTCTTGATGGTACTGCTCTAAGTATTCAACACAGGGATGATTTAATTGAACTAATTTGAAAAACAGGTAACTGGAGAGCTGAGAAACCAAAAGGGGAACTGTGATTTTTCAAGAGGATGAAGCCATTACAGCTTCTAAGCTGGAGGGATAAAGGGAAGGGGCTGTGCTACTGGAGCACAGCAGGGGTCAAGGGTCAGTGGGCAGGCACTGAAGCATGGGGGAGGGGGAGGGAACACTGTTTTTTCCATCCTTCAGTTCACTTTTCTGCTCAGGCTTTCCATTGATCACACCCAGCTGGAAGTCAGCTCCAGAGAAAGCAGTGGAAATGCAGCTTTTGGGGAAGGGCAGTCCTGTGATATGAACCAGAGGAGGGAAAAGAAGAGCCAGGAATGGATCCAAGGGCAAGTGGGCCTGTGATGCTGAATTCTCACAGAATATTTTAAAATCTTCATTGTTACAAATCTGATGTTGAGCATTTATTTATACTAGAACAGCAAAGTTATTTTCAATGGCTTCTATCAATGGGGTATTTGAGGTATTTATTGAACCATTAAATCATGACAACTTTAAGCTGATGTTGGGATTCCTAAAATTTTCTTCTTTTTAAACTTATTTCTGAATTTTTTTTTTTTTGGACTGGCGTTTAACCCAGGAGCTTTTATCCACTGAACTATATACCTAGCCCTTTTTATTTATTTAAAACAAAATTTGGGATAAGTAGGGTTGTGCTAAGTTACTTTGGGCCTTACTAAGTTGCTGAGGTTGGCTTTGAACTTGTATTGTTCCTGTGCCTCAACCTCCTCAGTCGCTGGGATTACAGGAATGTGCCACCATACCTAGCCCAAATTTCTTGATCTTTTAAATGAATCAAGGTTTTTGCTCCGTACCAGAGTTACTCCCTTTTCTTTCATTTGGAATACTGAGAATCTTCATCACTTTTCTTGTTAACCTTCTATTTATCCATTTGAAGGTTGCTAAGATTTGCTTATACTGTAACTTCAGTGATATTTTCCAAAATGAATTTTCATTTCAATCACCAAAACTATACTGCAGAGGATATGGCAAATATTTGTGCTCATTCCTTTAAAGCCTCAACCTGGCTAGCACCACTCTCTAAATATAGATCAGGATTAACTGAGTAATAAGGCAAGAGCGCAGCAGTTTCTCTGATAAATTCTTCAATACTGTTACTGTAGAGGAGTCTTTTGAAGGATGTAACCTCAGGCAGATAGAAACTTTGGAAATATTGGGGAAAGTCCACATTCTAAAACATTCACTATGTTAGGAAAATTGTAACAAGCTTTATGCTATCAAGGAGAACCAAATAAAAGATTTTCCATATATTCATTCCCCTTTTTTCACAAAGTTCACATGATTTTTTTGTTTTAAGGAAATGATGATTGTTTTATTGTAGTTCTAAAGATTTTAGAACTATGTCTTTTCCTCCTCCCCTTTAAAATTGGGCATGTGTCAAATTTAAACAGGGTATACTAGTTTTCCTTCTATTAAATTTTTAAAAGTAATGGTAATAGAGATTGGAATAGATCATGTTAAAAAAGGATAAGTAAGTAAAAGAGCTTTAATTTAAAACTTTGTGAAAAGCTGGATGTTTCTGGAAAATGGCGGTGAAAGAAAAATACCTCTTAATAAGAAGCAGAAGAAAGAACCTTAAGGCAAAATTAAATTAGAGATATCAAACATTTTTGTGGGAAAAAGAGACAGATGTGCTTTTGGAACTGGAAAAATATTGGTTAACTTTTAGTTGTGATCACACTTTGGTGGTATCTATGTGAAGCAAATGTTTTGGCTCTAAACTTGTTTCTGCCACTTTTATGTTTTCTTCCTTCACCAACCTGAAGGAGAATAAGGCATATTCTGTCTCAGGAAACTCAACTAGAAGACTTCCCTGGGTCTCAAAACTGCCACTTACTGAGAAACAATTTAGTGTCCTTCAAATGAAAAATTCCTCTGAAAGACTACAACAGCCAGAAATGGGGACAAAATTGCAGAAAGTGGTCCTACTGTATTTTGTAATTCAGAATCCATTTCTCACATGAGGAAGTGGTATTGAAAAAGGTCTGATATCATAAGACTGTAAATATATCTGCTATCATGTAAATGAATCAATAGTGATAATGATGTTTTCCTCTTAAAATAGTTCATTGGTACACTAATTCATTCTTTTTCTTGAAGTGATCCTAATTTCACTTTTTGAAAAATTTGTGCAAAACTTGAAAATGTCCGAAGACAAATTAATCTACACTTGTTACCCTCTTCCTATGAGACAATGAGTGCTCATATTAGTTTGATGAAACTTGATATCTGAACACAATAACATCCTTTATCTTCCTAGAACACTAGTATAGAAAAGCAGACACCAGTTTTTAATTTTAAAGATGAGAAAAGTGAGGCAGGACAAACCGATTACTGCAAGGTGACACAAAAAAGTACAACGAAGATATAATCAATACTCAAATTTTCTGGTCTTCCAACTCCTAGCCTAAAGTACCTTCCATTATACCATTTTGCCGTGATTGTAAATTAAGAACCATTTCCTTAGTCTTTCTAACATGCTCTATTCACACCAGGTCCCTTCAACACTTTGCTTGTACCTGCATATTTTCTATAAATCAGCACCCCACGAAATGGTGTGTTCATATGTCTGAGACCTTTTGTTCAGGAAGCAACACAATCTTAATCATCTATCAATTGACACTCCCAGTGAAACAGTACTTCCTGTTGTATATGGTCACCTCAATGGTTAGGACAGTTCTCAGGGTCAGTGACAAAACTGCTTGAGGACCAAGTTAGTAGTAGAAGTTGCCACAAAAAAATATTGAACTTTAGAGAAAGCCCCTTTTAAATGGTAGCCTTGATGAAAGCCTAAAACGTTGAAAAATAATAGACATTTGGGAAATTAAAATATGATCTGTTTAAGACTTACACTATATTCAAGGCCAAAAAGACTTACAAAATGCATGGAGTTTAAAGTCTGGGTCCTGGACCCCACGCCACGCTGCTTCTACTGGGCACCCTTATACAGCACCTCGAATTAAAACAGTAGCATGGGCCTGACCCCCGCCCCCAAATAAGCCTACATAACGCTTACATTTAAGATGGGAGGTTTTTTTTTTTTTCCCCATTGAGATCTTACTACCACAAAAACACATCCGACCTGCACTAGAATGGTTGTAGGGGCGCTTCAAAGCATGGAGATGCAAGTCAACCTGAGAGCAACACAGCGAACCATTCACTAAAATCGTCGCCACAATCCCTCCCCGACACCCCGGCCTGGGAAAAATCTTCTCTCGGGCTCGGGCCCCCCAGGGCTCGGGCAGGATGGGGAGGACGCGGGCTCGGCTTGCTCCTTCCCACCCGCGAGCAGCGCTCCTCTCGGGGCGGACGTGGGCGAGCAAAAAGGAAGCGCGACGGGGAAGACCGCGGGCGGCCCGGGAGTGTGGCGGGAGGCTTCGGAGGCGGGCGGGCCGGCCGTTTTATTGTTTCCTCTCGCCCTCCTCCTCCCGCGCCCGCCCCGGCGTCACTGGAAAGCCGCCCGAACAGCCCGGCGGCGGGCTATTTATAGAGCGGGCGGCGCGCGCGTCACGGAGCCCGGCCTGGCTGACGGGGCCGCTGACGCGCTTGGCCGCCGGGCCGAGTCCGCGGGGCTGCTCGCCGGGTGCCGGCGACAATGGGCTTCTGTGTGTGCAGCTGCCGCCGCCACCAGGGGCCGGGGGAGGGAGGCGGGTGGCCGCTCCCTGACCTCCCTCCCTCCCGGCTACGACCCCCTGAAAGGTAACCGGCCTCTTCCGCCCCCGGCCAGGACCCAGGCCCCGCGGGCTCCCCACCCCCACATTTCATCTGTAAGTTCCTTTGCCCCAGCCTCCGCTTCCACTTCCCCTGCTTTCCTATTTTCTCCCTTCCCCAACTTGAAGAAAGTGGGGGATCTATCCCGCCCCGGGCAGCCACTTTGTGCGCCCCGGGGAGCGGGACCCACACCGGGCGCGCCCAGCTGGGGACGCAGTGACGGAGGGGCCGGCAGCGCCGGGCAGGTAACGTATCCTGGATCTAGAATGGGGATGCTTTGTTTGGGGCGAGGGGAGGGGAGCTGGGGGTGGATGAGAACGCCTGGCAGCCCTTCCGGGACTCCTCTCTCCCCCCTCCACCGCCTCCTTCTGCTCGCAGGAAGCCAATCTGGGTACGTAGCGCGAAGAGCGAAAGAGAAACTTCTCCCGCCTGACTGCCTAAATGAGGCTCCTCCCTAGAGGCCAACATAATAGAGACCCCCCCCCCCCCTTCCTGCTCGCCTCCCGCCGTCACTCCCCGGTCCACTCCCTCCTCTCGCCACCCCACAACGCTGTGGACCAGCCGTCGTCCCTCCCCTCCACGCCCCGGCTCCCATCTCGGGTGGGTTCAGTACTTGGATGACCCCGCCCTGCGAAAGAAGGGGCTGAGAAGGATTTTAGGGACTTCCTGGGATGCGGAGACCAGCTCTGAACCATCCCCTTTCAGCTGCCGGGAACCGGGAAAGCTTGCTCTGGAGCCCCTCGCACGTGGCAGGCAGGCCGAGAACTCGTAGTGCCTTCTAGGAAATTGCAATCGATTTGTAATGCACTTTTGCTAATTGGGAGTTCAAAATTAAACTTTAATAAAGCATTTGTGTCGTCTCGTCTAATTGTGAAAGCTTCCATTCGCCCTGGTAGATAGACAGAAAGTCTCAAGTTAATGGCGCTAAACAAGACCCCCCCCCCCCACCCGCCGCCCCGTTTCCCCAGTGCAACTCCTTCAGCCGTCTTCGGCGCAGCTGGATTTCCGTAAGGTACAGATGTTGCTAATGGCAGCTTAAGCACGGATGGGCAGATAGCATACGGAATGCAACATGTTGCCATATGGTTCCTTTAGCCTTTCACCTCCAGGGATATCAATCACATATATTCTGGGAGGAACTTAATGACTCTCTGAACAGCAAAATGAATTACCTGGTACAATTTATATCCCTTGACCTGATACGTTATAACAACAGGAAGATAGCATCTCACAATTTCTGTGATATAAATTGAGTTAGAGAGCTACATTTCAAATTCCATAACATCTATTTTTAGTTTGAGAGGCCCTTGTCAAATCATTTTGGCTGTAAAATCTGTTCTGTATTGCCTCCTGTTTCCCCCCTCCCGCTTCTAGACGATGCAAAATTTATGAAGTTTAACAAAACTGTTGTTTTGGAAATTGCCAATCGAGGAGAATGGGGAAAATATGACTTCCAGAGCGAATTAATTAAAAGTTAGCAATCTTTGGAACGCCTTACTTTCTAAAAGAAGAAAATCAACTCCTAGGGAGACCTACTATTTATTTCAGTATAACTTCTAATTCATATCAGTAAGCTAATTCATTAGCTTCTTGGAATTCTCCATTCAAAAACTCCAACTATTCCTAAACTCTGGAAATTAACTTAAGGAAAACTGTTCATAGAAACCATGAAATATAAGAATCTAAGTTTTTTCTCCTTAGCAAACCAATTTCAATATACCTGTGCACTCACTATTTGTGCATTTGGACTTGAATCATGAATGCGATATTTTTTGTTTTTTCCTCCCAACATTTCAGTGAAAGCAAACTGAAGTTGCTGTTTAAATCTATTGGAATGATTCAGTAATATTTCACATTTTATTTTTAAATATTTTGGTAACTAATGAAATGTTTTAATTGATTGCCTCTAACCTTAGATTAAAAGCCTGCTTTCTTTTATTATTTCCTTTATTTTTCATCCACTAATGCAGGCAGATCACACTGAAGGAAAAGCACTAAGTTAAGGATACAAAAGTAAAAGACAATTTTTTAAAGCTTCTTTACTTTTATCTAGTAAGGGGATCTGAAAGCTAGAGACACTAACTTTGAAAAAGTTTTTGCTTCCAATAATATGAAGCCATATTTGTGTGAACTGATAGACTATATAGTCTTATCAAAATGCATAAAATAGACATGAACAGTCTGAAAAGCTATTTACTTTTAGTCATACATGTTTCAGAAAGTATTAACATTCTGAAAGTTTGTCTGTAGATCATTTTGAAATTAAAAGATGATGCTTCTCCTTTTTTTCTCCCCTTTGTAATGGTTAATGATTTATTATGTAGTGTTTGAGTTAGTTCATTTTGATAATTAGCAAATGAGATCTTTTGTATATGTATATAGCAAAGAGTCTTATACGGTGCAAATTAAGATACATCCAAGTTAAGATAAACCTAACTCAGGATAACTTAAGATAAGCCTAGGTTCTGGTAAACTTCTTATCTGGTGCTGTTTTGGGTAATCTTTTTTTAAAAAATATTTATATTTTAGTTGTAGTTGGCCACAATAACTTTATTTCACTTATTTTTTTAAGTGGTGCTGAGGATCTAACCCATGGTCTCCCATGTGTGAAGCAAGTGCTCTACTGCTGAGCCACAACCCCAGCCCCTGTTTTTGGTAATCTTTTAATAGCTGAGGTTTTACTTCTCTGTGGCACATCAATGAGTTTTAACCATGATCAGTGGTGAGCTTGTCAAAAATGACTCCATCTCCAAGACTTGTGAATAGACAGCGAGTGTGTCTTTTAATCAGTCACAGAGAACTTGCCTTATAAAGCTGTTATTGTCATGGACAGATATCATAGCCCTTAGTCAAGTCTAGTGATTATTAAAAATGTTCCTCCTTTAAAAGCCAGGCCAAAAATCCTGCTGTGCTTCATTTCACTATTTAAATCCATTAGTAAATACAATCCCAAGCAACACTATTTTGTAAACATTTATATTTTTAGTTGTAGGTGAGCGTAATATCTTTATTTTATTTTTATATGGTGCTAAGGATTGAACCCAGTTCTGTGCTAGGCAAGTGCTCTACCTCTGAGCCACAACCCCAGCCCCCCAAACTGCACTATTTGTTCTCTCAAGTTGTTACATTACATATATTTCATGAATAATTTCAAACCCTTCAAGATAGACAAACCATATATGTTTTGTATACCTATATGGCAACAAAAACAAGATATATATCTTGCAGCGGGACTTTTATTTTGAATGAAGATTTGATGGATGTCCATTGTTAATCTAAACAATGGACTATCTAAAGGTGGTTGGTCACCAAAGCGAACCTTATAGCCTGTAAGTACTAGAATTGTTATTGTCTACCAGGGAATCACTTTGTATTTTTTGAGCCCTCAACTTCACTTGCTTCTTTTATTATTGTCCTTCATATAGCTAATCTGAGAATTTATTTGGGTACGAAAACTTTTGAAAATGTGTTGGCCAAGAAGATTTTCATCAGTGTTTCTGCTGTCTGCTGATTTAGAGCCTTTATCCTGAGCGAGATTGTTAATTCTAACCAAAACTGATGCAGACTATTAGAATTAGGTATATTCCCCATACTAAGTAATTTTTAATTGTGATATAAACCTAACTATTACTTATTTTTACTCATGAATAAATTTAAAGTCTTTGAAATAGTCCAGATTTTTTTTTTTTCCTTAAAGAAACAGGACAAGGTATGACTAGGGATTAGGCCTCTGACAGAATTCTTCATTTTAAGTTCATGGTTTTGAGGAGAGTCATCAGGCAAGAGTATAGTCCCATTACACTTGCCCTGCTTGCTTTTCAAATTCAAAGCCCATGTTGTTGCATTGGAAACTTAGTTCTCTTTTATAAGCATTTCATTAATTTTTTTAAACGTCAATCTGTAAATATTTAACCAGCCAAGCAGAAAACAGTCTTTTATTCTCGTCTCTATGCAGCTTTGTTTTTATCTGATTTAGTATGAGTGCCATGTAAATATCACATAAAAATTTGACTTTGATTGTCCTTACTTTGACTGAAGATTGACAGGAGCTCCTTAATTAATCTTGTTCTCTTTCCTGTTCTGTATTCAGATATTGAAATACAGTATTTTATACATTTATAAGATTGTGTTTGCATTTATTTAATTTATGTTTCTTTTTTTAAAGCATGTAGCCTTGAATGTTTGTTCTTTTTTTTTTTTTTTTTCACATCATTACTCTGGTACTGCTTGATGTAACTTGATTAGCTCCCTCCCCAGTCATGATTGGTAATTAAAATAGGCATTAAAATTAGTCACTTAGCAATTTTGCTGTTCAATTGGCAATTAAATTACTTAATTGCAATTAAAGTCCTAATTTTAATTGGCAAAATGATAGATGTAGATTTAAGATAATATGTATAAATACTTTAATAAGTGTCTATATAAGGATTACTTAATTACTCAACTTCAAGTTTATGCTGTTAACTTTAGAACTTTTAAGTGAGCAATGAAATTTATATTACATCTATTCAAAGGATATGGTAATTAGATTTATTACTTATCACTATAAGGGTCCTTGCTATAAGTTACTTTTGTAGTGTTAAAATTGTAGGTTTGATAATTGCAGAATTAAGAAGAGGAAAAGGGCATATGTGTCTTTGTCGTAAAATATAAATAGCTTATCTTTATTTTTCATTAAACTGAGAGTTTCCTATCTACCAATTAATTTGAGGAAACAATCAAAAGAGGTTATTTTACCACTGAAATTAGTACAAAAACTAGCCTACTGTGATTTACATACAAAAATGATTGTTAAGTTTATATATTTTATCTACCTAAAGAAATGATATCTAATACTGCTAGGGTAGCCAATGTTATTAGCTACTTTTAGAATTTCAGGCGCTTTGATATTTTCTTAATGTATAGCAACTTATTTTCAGAATCTTTAAAATGTCTTTTAGGAATTTGTACATTTTATAGAAATTAGTAATAAATATAAAACCAAAGTTACCCTTCTTTGCCTAATAAAAAAGGAATTGTTACATGAGAAAATATTAAGTAATTTAAAGGTAAATATTTAGGAGATGGCCACTGCAAGTCAAATATTACCAAAAAAATGAAAGATTTATTATGCAAAATACTTTTTGAGTGGCATGAGGCTTACCATATGTTCAGTTTTATAATTTTAATTTACAAGTAGATCCTTCTAGAAAAGGGTGCTATTTATTCCTGCACATCTTTACATATTTCTAGAATTGAGTTCCGA